AGGGAATCGATGACTCATTAAGATTCATTTCCGAGAACAGGGCTGCGTTCAGCCCCGACAAAAACGGTGCAAAACGTTTTTTAAACGGAAACGGTCATGCGTTGAACATACCGTTCTGATGATTCAAGAGTTGCAACTACGGCAGCTGAGAAGGCCATTCTTTGTGTTCTTTTTGAATCATTTTCAGAGCCTGATGAAATCAGTATAAATACGTGTTTAATACTGTAAAATACGCTCGATGGTACAGTCACTGCCCTTGCCCTCCAGAATAAAATAGAACATCCCAATTGAGTGAAGGGATTTGTGCAAACTGTGGTTCCTAATTATTGTGATCCAACATTTGCCTCGCATTTCAGGATGAAAAGACAAACATTTCAGGTGAAGGATAATCCACTTCTTACCTCCGAGACTGTGTTATGATCTATATGACCTTATTATTTTTATTGTGAGTATTAGGCTTATCATTATTGCTGATCACTGTTGTTGTGCTATGATATTGTAATATTTACCATTATATAATCAGAGGGGTATAGAAAAGTTTATGAAAGTGTCACTCCATAATACAATAGCAAAATATATAAATATGTATAGTAATTTTATGTTACATTAATCAGTATTTAGCACACCTTCCTAAGGAAAGGATATGGACCAGAAGACATTGTAATTACTAAATGATATTTAGACAGACTTAAAGATTTCCAGATCTATACTTGTGCTCTTATTATTTCAGTTATTTTGCCTTTAATGTAAATAAACATGTGCAAACAATATACTTGCTCTTGTGAATTTATTTGGATGTTAATTACATTGTGCGAGCTGTCTCTTTAATACCGTGTGGTTTACATACATGTTGCTGCTGATTGGGCTGACATTTTTGACACACCCACCAAACAAGAGAAAACGCATCTCAAACCCCATTGCACACCGTTTCCAGTAAACATGTCGTTCAAACCGGAAACTGTAGCCCCAGATTCGTTCGTTTCAATGAAACGGTTCTTTTACTCCACTGCGTAATTACGTCACTACTTCTAATAACCCAGTGTTACGGTATATCACACTGAAACATTCAAATAAAGCCATATGTGAACGCTTATTGCTGATTATTACATTTTAGTGTTTGTTGTAACTGTTTTTCATTCATTGCATGCCGAACTTGTCCGAAATGTAGGCTACTCAATTGTCAGTTGCATGGCCTAAATAAAGTTGCTTTATACCAAATATATACCAAATATACACCATCTATAGTCTTTGTTTATACCCTGTGGTCACGGCGAGATGAACAATCTCGCAATCTTTCATTAAAGAAAAAAAGACTTGGAAGACAACAGCGAAGAATCGATTCTCAGAATCGACTCAATCGATTCTAGAAACAGGACTCAGAATCAATTCCAAAAATTTCAGAATCAAACAGCCCTGTGAAGAGCTATTGTCATTTTCATTTGGAAATACTGTACTGTGTATTTCTGCAGAATTTTGCAACATTCTTATTAGGCAAGATCTGGTGGATGAACATTTTGCGTAGCTTCACAGACAACAACTGACTGAATAAATGTTTTGTGTCTTAAAGGTGGGGTAAGTGATTTTTCAAAAACGCTTTAGACAACTGATTCGGGTGAGTAGCAAAACAAACTTGTAGCCAATCAGCAGTAAGGGGCGTGTCTACTCATGATGTGGAGGAGAGAGCCTTCAGTGCACAGGACGGACATTAGCCGAGCCGAGCGACAGAAAGATAGAGATGGCGGATAAAAAACAAAAGAGGAAACGTCTGCGGAACAAAAGGCATAAGGCAAGAAGTAGGACCCGTGTAAATATCGGATCAGCTTTCCAGCGCTGGAGAGAACTCAAGGAGCAGAAGGCCTGCGATCGGACGCCGAGGTTGCTTTGTTTCTTCTTGATAGGTGAGTAACACCGTGTCTGCTTCAAATGTCAACATTGGCTACCAGAAATCGCTTACCCCACCTTTAAATATTCAATTAGCCATGAGCAAATTAGCCAGTTAGCCATGACTACTGATAGGATTGCAAACAGTAAAGCTGCTGCTTGATAACAGGCATAGAAATACCCAGAAACCAACAGTATAGTGATCTAATTTTTAATCAAGCCATTCTTAAAAAGAAAAGTGTCAACTACAAAGCACTAAAAGATGGTTAGTTAGTATGATGCAACGTAAAGAGAGCTATAAAACATTATGGATAAAAAATTAAAAAAAAAAACAATGCTTGTGTCTTAAATCAAAACAACCACAACCAAACAGATTATTTATAATGATTTATTGTCATGCCTTAAAATTATTTTAGAGAACCAAAAGAATGTACTTCAAAGAATGGGTTCATTCTTAAAATACAGATCTGATGAATAACAACGATCTGATGAACAGGATGTATTTTGACAAGACAGGAAGTTTACTCATTTCAGAGAAGTTTTAAAGGAGCAAATGTTTGAGTTTCATATACTGTTCAAAGAACAAGTCACCTAACAGAGAGAAAAGATAATAGCAGGAAGCTTCCTGTCACTAATATATTTTGTTCTCAGAATACACCAGCAATTAATGGCACTGAAATAATCAACAAGCTGACCTACTTATAGAAGTCTTTACAACAATAATTTTACACAAAACAGAAAATTACACAAGTAAGGAGAGGTTTAATGGCAAAGAAACCCATAGGTTAGGACTAAGGTTACACAATACACAGTATGTTGCAATGTCACAAATACCTTTGATATCAAACACATTTTTTCGAAAGTAAAATAAATGTGAAACTTTTATATTTACATTTGTTTAATGAAAATATAAAAGTTTCACATTTAATTTACTTTCAAAAAAATGTTTTTGATATCAAAGGTATTTGTGACAAAATATTTACATATGTACATCAAATAGAAAGTAAAATATTACAATCATTATCAATGCTTTTTCTAAATTAGGTCAAATTGAACTCATTAGACATATACTAGTCATTAATATGCATTGAATGAGAAATTACTGAACATTACACTTTGGATTCTTAGTTTTTCTTTTATCTTGGCGCTCATACTTCTGTCCTGCTAACAATAAATTTTCTCAACAATTGCATTTCACACATACAAACAAGTCTTGTTAGTCCCATAAATGCTCAGTAGTCCGTGTTGGGGCTCTTGATTGATGTGGTTTTACTGGTTGTTGACAGCATGGCAACATCGATCTTCAGACACGGTATACGCTTGGACAAAAGCTTCATAAAATGGCTTTGAAACTTCTTCCCCAAAAAAGTGTAGAAGACAGGGCTGATGCAGCAGTACAGGTAGGCAAAGTTTCGTGTGACGTACAGTGCATAGTCGAGGGCATTTGAGCAATCATTCTGCTCTCCAAAGGACATCTTGATGGCTTTCAACAGGATGACCACATTGTAAGGCGTCCAGCAGATGAAGAAGGTAAAGACGATGATAAAGATGAGTTTGACCGCCCTGCACTTCTCCGTCATGCGAGTGGACATGATCCTGATGGTTATGCTGATGTAGCAGTACAGGACGATAACCAGAGGCACCAAGAAGAAGAGGAAAAACTGCTGATAATAACCAATCAGCTCCCATTTTGTGAGGAAGCTCTGGTGGTAACCAGTCATTTCGCACAGCAAACCGTCTCCACCGTTCATCACATCGTGAAAAACTATATCCTTTATACTAGCCAAAATACTGAGCACCCAGATAATGGCGGATGACGCAAACGCATACGCCTTCCTTCTGCTCTGGGCTGCAGAGATGGCGTGGACCACCGCAAGGTAGCGGTCAAAGGTCATGAGGGTGAGGAAGAGGATGGAGCTGTTGAAGCCAATGGAATAACAGCCTCCCACCAACTTGCAAAGGCCTCTGCCAAAGATCCATTCAGATTTGTGGTAGACTGCCCAGAAAGGGAGGCTAGAGGCGAAGATGAGGTCTGAAATGACGAGGTTGAGCAAGAATATGTTGGTAACCGTGCTGAGCTTCTCATATTTGTAGATGATGCAGAGCACCAGTCCATTTCCAACCAAGCTCAGCAAGAAGTTAGTGTAGTAGAAGGCTGGGAGAAATGCTGCTCCGAACTGGAGCACATCGCTTTTCTTGCATAAAGGAACCTCTCCGGTTACGACTTGTCCTTCGTATACCGTGTAATTGGATTCAGTGAAAAACTTGTTGAGGTCATCATTATCGAAATAATCCATTGGTATCTATCTGGTTGCTGATGTCAGATTTCTGCTGCAATAAAGTCAAACATAAGCAAACACACAATAACACAGTTAATATACATTTGGACTGAGGTTCATTCTGAGCATCAAATATTGGCTTCACTCACCAATGCCTTTGGTAGAGGAGTTTGTGAAACTCTCAGCAGCCCTGGCAGAACTGATACAACCACGTTGTGGTTTACCGAGAAAACTCAGCACACATCCTGAACGAGGAACTGCGAAGAGCATTTAAATCACCTCGTCAGCACTACGTGAAACCACACCGCCTTCGCTATTTTTTGATCAATGTTTTCAAAATGTCATGGGGAATATATAATTTTTTTTTGAGAGAGAGAGAGAGAGAGAGAGAGAGATTACTTCTTTGAGAACGAGAAACAACTTGAGAAGTAAAATGATTATGAAATGATTAAAATTCTAAAATATTTATTGTCATTTTAAGAATTCCAAATGTCAGCTGCACAGTGCACAAATTAAATGATAAATTCATTAAAAAAACACCACAAAATCCTACGTGCATTCATGAAAAAAAGAACATGAACAGGAAACATTAAATAATAAATAGATGTTAATTGCTGCTCTTTGCACAAATCTATCCAGTCAAAAATAGACATGCCAAAACTACACTACTAAGATTACTGCTAAAACCTACAAGACAAATTCTCAAACAATTAAAAGTATAATTAAATAATAATAATACTAAATGTTTTAGTAGTAAAAATGTTCCTATAAAAACTAACAAATAGCCCTTGAGCAGAAGTATTCTCAAATTTGAACATAAGCGTTCCACGTATAGCCCGTAGAATTGCTTCACATCCTGTACAGAGGTAGCTTGCCTGGGGCAGTGCAGTGGATACAGTATAGCAATTTTTCTTCAAAGGAACAATTCACCCAAAAACGAAAGTTGAAAATTAAAATTAAATTGGTCACAGGACACGAGAGAATCAAAGATGTATGTACAGTACGTGAACATGCATGATGTTTGAGAGCATTTTCACCAAGCAATGATTGAATTTTTAGTCCGTTTCTTGCACAAAGGCTTCAGAAAACTTGGAATATAATGCATGAGTTCTACTGGAGCCCAACAGCCCCTTTGGAAAAGAGCAGCTAGGACATGCATCAAAATCAATCAAAAACATGGATTCATGATTTAACACATCCAACACAAGATTCTCAAACAGGAAAACACATCACATATTTAAAGTCAAGATCATCGTTCTTTAGAGGTTATGAGTTCTTGAGGTCAAGGCTGAGCACCAGAAAGGTCCATTTGAGAGAGAAAAGACTGTACAGAATCAGTACGATCCCACTGTCCCGTTGCTAAAAGTTAGGTCCTTTCCTGAAAGGATCGTCCCGAAAGCCATAGGCTTGATAACATGAGGACGGGTCACAGACCCCCATGGGTCCCGGGGGCCCACGTTTGCCTGGGGTACCCGGAGTGCCAGGTTTTCCTGGTGGACCAGAAGGCCCAGGATATCCCTCACCGTCATTCCCACGTGGGCCCTGCAAACCTGTGGAAGAGAAAATTACTTCTGGACGTGCTTGCAAAGACTAAAAAATACAACGAAGGGGATTATTATCATGCATGAATATATTTGTTTTTATACCTGCTGGACCAGGTGGACCTGGCAAACCCATTTCACCCTGTCCCTTAGCACCTTTCATGCCCACTGGGCCAATATCACCTGAAAGAAAAACATTCAAGCACCATTTTCCCTTCAGTCACTTTATAATCAAAAGATGAAATAAACTTAAAAACAGATTGCCATAATCCTTCCTCACCTTTTACCCCTTCAGGTCCCTGCCTCCCAGGAGGTCCCGGGTAGCCTGGAGACCCTGCCATGCCGGGATATCCTGGGGGTCCAGATGGGCCTGTTGGGCCTGGGGGGCCTGGATCGCCTGGTGGTCCTTGTTTGGTCTCACAGTGTTGGCAGCTGCTTTGGCCCATCACATGCAGGAGCTGTGGCAGCTGGCCTGTTGAAGGAACATTTAGTGCAGTGATTCTCAACCTTTTTGACTGGTATCTGGTACTAACCAAGAGTGGTAATATTTATATATATATAAAAAATAAAAAAATAGAAAAATTAAAAATGTATTATAAAATGTACAGTAAATAATTAAAATAGTTTTGAATAACTGAATCTTCTTCAGTGTTTACACTTTTTTGCCAATGAATTTACATGACATTTTGAACTAGTTTTTATTTATATATTTTTAGTTTTAATTTTAATTTTACATTTGTAGTTTTTTTTTTTGTCATTTTATTTGTATTTTTGTGTGTGTGTGTCCATATTGTTTTTATTACTTTTTATTTCAGTTTTAGTTTTAGTTATTTCAGTACAGCAAGATAAACTAAATGAAAATGAAAAATGTTGTTTTTGGCATCTAGCTAAAATAAAAAAGTGAAAATAAAAAGTTTGAGTTTTAGTTCGTTTTCGTTTTAGTTAACTGTCATAACCCTGATGACGGACATTTTTCAAATGAATTTTGTCACAAATACTAATTTCCACACAATAAAAATATTTTAGTGCTTGATATCACCAGAAAGATTTATGTTCATTATAAACTTGATTTCCCTGACTTTCCCATGTCTAGAAACCACACTTTTCCTCATTTATATGAGGTTTTATATAAAATAACAGATGTCGAGGGCACAAATTAAAATAAGAAACATGATGTCAGCTTACTTCTCAATGTTTTAGCTTATTTGAAAGCTTATTTTGTACGCCCCCTAGTGGTTGAGAACCACTGATTCAGAGAGATTACAAGACAAGTGTGTCAATGCGTTTGTCTTTTCTAATATGAATGAATACACTACTCACCTGTACATGCAGTTGCTAGATACAATGCTATTAGGTGTTATTTCATGATTGGTCAACTGTTGCGACGTGATTTATTTCGCAGTAATTACCATGCGACTAACCATTATCCCTTACTACATGCAAGCAACAAGTGTAATTCGTGTGGAGTTCATAGACTTTTAAGAAGCGTAGAGAAGATGGTGTAACATTTGTGACAGTAACGGCAAAATAAAAAATAGCCGTATGCTGGCTCAACAAATGTTTTCCTCTTTTTTACAGAGAACTGAAAGTCTCCAGCTATCTGACAGTTAGGCACATATACGCACATCATGAGTCAAATGCTATTCATCTCGAGTATCTTTGTCTTTTTCAGCTAAATAAAATCATCTGACATGTAAAATGCATATGAAGACATAGGAACATATCTCAAATACAAGAGTTGTATATTTTCTGAAGAACATGCGAGCGATTTTCCATGCAAAAGTCACAGACATGATTTTAGGGTGTTGTGGGCGTGTTGCTAAAAGGTAGTCTAAGTGTTTTCAGCATGTTTTTGGTTGCTAGAGTGACAGTTTCATGGTAAATACAAGAAGGATGAGTTGCATGACTAAATTTAATACTTCCAGTTAGGGGTTTTATCAAATTCTAACTAGGCAAACATTAAAAGTGATGCTTGCATTAGCATATTTTATCTTCGTTTTCTCATTCATCTCAACATCACTCAATTTATTTGCCACTGAAATACGACAAACTTAAGAAGAACTTACTCTGTAGCACAGAAGCACAGATCTTCATCAGCTGCTCTTCTGAAGGTGCTTTGCCCTGTAACACAGTGTGTGTGTATTTGAGCAAGACCATCATCGCCATCATACATGCTCTACAAATGCTCATAAGCATCACACTCACTGGTTTCCCTGGGTATCCTGGAAGTCCTGGCTGCCCTGGTAAACCGTCTAGACCCGGAAAGCCTTGAGATCCAGGTGGCCCTGATGAACCCACATCTCCCCTTTTCCCATCAGCCCCTCTGCTCCCAGGCTCCCCTGCTACACCTGGCTGAAATGGAGTAAAATTTGGGGACCAGTATTAAAGTTTGAAAATTGGGATAAAGCTTAATAGAAAGAACACAATTGGAATTTGCAAAAAACATTCCATGGGTAAACAGAGGCACTTCTAACAATGCCTGCAGGGCTGAACTGGGCTTATACCCCTTACACATTGAAATAAAAAAAGAGCTGTTCAATTCAGGCATCACCTCAGTCAATCTGACGCTGAATCTATTCAATATGAAGCCCTCCGTGCCAATGAAACCCCCACAGTGTCTCATCCTCTAAATACATTTGTGCTTCAACTAATGAATGAAACTCAAGCTGAGTTGGACTCCAACCACAACTCTAACATTCATAAAGAAATTGGCAAAAATCTAAAGTATAATTATGATGAAAAATTAAAAAAACAAAAACAAATTTGACCTCCAAACCAAACTCCAGTGTTATTCGGTCCTAAACAGAACCACCAAATTACTTATCAATCAAACAATTAAAAGAAAGACAAATTCTTTCAAAATTTATGAGAGAAAACATCAGCTCGGTGACCACGACTTTGAAATAGAGAAAGGAAGATATAAAATATCCTGGATATGAGAGAGCAGCGATTATGCAAACACTGCGACCTGAATCAAATAGAGGACTAAAAACAAGTACCACTACAAGGCAAATATTTTTTTCCACAATTTTAAGCATTGAATTGTTCATTCTTTACTCTAAATACTCAGCGAGGACAACATGGTAGTCAAACTAGCTGCAAAATATGTACAGTATATATGATACATAGTTAATTCATTGTATTCATTTGCTTTATTTGACAATCTTCATTGTATATAATTGTAATTATTATAATTAATATTATAGGTACTGTCTTCTGTTGTTATTAATTTTATTGTATTGTATTTAATTTTTATTCTATAAAATATTTTATTTTTATTGTATTTTCTCTTATTTATTATGTCTCCTTTATTATTTTGTGGTGTAATTATATTCTATATTTTACACATACATAAAATGCTTTGGAGAACAATTCACTTCACAGTTACAGAAAGAGTAACACAAGAAATAAAAGCTTTTTAAATTAATCCTTCAGTATTTGTGCATATTTGATTGTTTGAGTAATGTGAAAAAAAAAAAGTTTCATTTATGAAGGAGGTGCAAACAAGATCTTAGAATGCTGAGAGACTGCATATGTTTGGCTCAAAATATTGAAGCTTGTTTTACTCCCTTGCTAAGGAACCAAAAGACCTCTAGATTCTGACTCATCAGGAAATGGTTATGAGACACTGACAACAGTAGTTATGTTTTAAGAGTAGTTTTGTACCTCTCCTTTGTATCCTTTCAGGCCTGGTTCACCCTGTTGAGAATGACAGAAGTACAATTTGAAGTGCAATTTGAATATCCTGACATTTTATGAGAAATTTCATGACACTTTCTTTTCATGAAATTTCAAAATTCATGACAACTCTTGGAGGCATTGGCATGGTAATGTACATGACAATGTTAATGTATTTGGTCTTGGCGGAATAGATCTGCTACGCTGCTGTTGCTGCTGACTTGCTACTGCCAATACATCCACAACATGCTGCTGTGAGCATGTAAGAAATATTGCTGCTGCAAATA